TTTGGTCTTTTTAAGACAGGGTCTCCCTGTAGCCCCAGGTGGCCTGGAACTTGCTATGTAGACCACGCTGGCCTCAAACTGACAGAGATCCACCTGCCTCTGCCTCTGCCTCCCAAGTGCTGGGATTAAAGGTGTGCTTATTATTTTATGTGTATGAGTGTATTGCCTGTATGCATGTGGTGTAATGCCTGTAGAGATCAGTAGAGGGTGTCAGTAACCCTGGAATTATAGTTATGGACGGTTGCTAGCCACCAGGCTTCACTTTTAAATTTTAAACTATTGTTTTCTCTAATCATGAGATTATATCTAAGCATACATCTGTAGTAACAGTCAGAATCTCCTAACATATATTAATGCCTACAAATAAAATTATGTAGAAGAGGTGTGTAACAGTGAAAGAGCTAGGATTGCAATTTAAATTATGAAATCTACATGTAATGTGCAATGAGGTGGAACTGTTAATGATCTTGAGTACTGTGCTAGGTAGCTTCAGTTGGCAACTAGACATACCTGGGAAGAAGGAACCACGGTTGGAGTGTTTCTTGTATTGCATTGGCCTGCGGTCATGTGTGTGAGGTATTTTCTTTTTCCGTTTTTTTTAATTGGTGTTTTTTGACACAGGGTCTCCCTGTAGCCCCAGCTGGCATGAAACTTGCTATGTAGACTAGGCTGGCCTTGATCTCACATAGAGCTGCTTGCCTTTGCCTCTCTGAGTGCGGTATTAAAGGTGTGTGCTACCACACCTGGCTATGAGGTATTTTCTTGATTATTGAATGATGAGGGAGGGCTCAGCCCACTGTAGGTGGTGCCACACCTGGGCAGGTAGTCCTGAGTTGTAGATAAAAGCAGACTTCAGCACAGGCCAGAGGACCAGTGCTTTTCCATGGTCTATGCTTCAGTTCCTGCCTCCAAGTTCCTGCCCTGACTTCCCTCAGTGATGAACCTGGGAGAGGTAAGTTAAAGTAAACTATTTCTACCCTAAGTTGGTTTGGTCATGGTGTTTATCATAGCAATAGAAAGTAACTATGACATTTAGTAAGGGGGTTATAGGGGTGCTGAGTGAAATGCCCAATATTGTACATGCAGGATCTCACTTAATACAATCATCCTCTTTATTATGTATTATTTTAAATAATATTTTACAAATTTATTATATGTCTGTCTGATGGGTGCATGTGTTTAGAGGGCTGAAGACAGTTTTGTGCAGTTGGTTCTCTTTCAACCTTCACCTGGGTTCCAGAGCTCAAACTCAGGTCATCAGGCTTGTACAGTGAATGCCTTTGCCTACTGTACCACCTTACTAGGCATTTCATTTGCATTATCAAACCCATTCCAAGGTTAAGGAAACTGAGGCTAAGTTAGTCATTTGTTTTATAAGCACCAGAGATATCACGAAATGCAGATCAATATAACTCCATATTCCATGCTTTTAATGGCTGTGAAATACTACAGGCTGAGTATGGAGCTTCACAGGTCAAAAGACTTCCTATTTGTATTTAATATAAAAAATTCTTTTTTTAGTGCTGGGGACCAAATCCAGGGTTTTCCCCACACTAAGCCAGCACTGCACCACTGATAAAAATCCCTAGCCCAGGAGAAAACATATTAAGATAAGCATTAAACAATTAGAATAAAATGACACATTTCTTTTGAAAGCAGGCCAGTACTACCTGAGTCCAATGGCTCCACAGACTCAGAGGGGCTTTTCTCTGGGTAGTTATCCATAGACAAACGGAAAGGGATTGAACAGGGAGAAAAATAACCTGCAATGGAGGTAGAAGTCCCTTCTAATGGAGGCAGCGTTCCCACTATTGAAGAAGAATATGAGGATCTCGCCTTTAAAATAAGCAAATTAAACAAATTGTCAAATGATGCTACATATAACATCTACAAACACTTTCCTGGTAGCTGTTGAAAATATTTAAGAGAAAGGCTTCAAAGCTTGCCAACATTCCATAACATTCCCATTAAGAACTCAGAAGAACTCAAAGCCCTTTTATTCTTTTGTCTTTGTATCTTAGGTGCCCTAAATTATTAATCTGAAAATATTTTTCATGTGTTGGGAGTATGTGTGTGTTTCATATACCTTCTCTGAGAAATAAGAAGTTGGTCATGACAGAGTAACAAAAATTACAACAGACTGATGGGACATTTTACAATCTTTCCATTTATACTACTTCATAGTAAAGTAGATCTAACTTTTTTACATCAAAAGGAATACATTTTAGAGCTTAGTTTTTAAAAATGAATCTTCTTTAAGTACTGAAATGTTTTCTTTTTAAAAAAAAGTGCCATTGATAGAGTAATTTTAAAGCACTGAAAGAGAATCTCTAAGTTTAATTAATGGGAATTATTCCATCTTTCAAATTGAAGTCCTATTTGTTTTCTATGTTTCATTGTTTTTCATCCCTTCCACTGCTTGGGATATTACACAAAAACTGAATGAAGCATTAGGCAAGATGAATAATTCCTAGGTATCTGCTGTACAATTTAACACTATACCTATGGTACTAATACTGTATTGTACCTTTAAAAAGCTGTTACATGTATAAATATGTTCTTACTACAATAATACAAAAAAGTACAAAAGTTGAAGTAGAAGTCAGTCCACATACAGCTGAACTATCAATGCGGCATTCATTCTGAGGTAAGTAAGGCCTATAAATGTGTGCTTTCCTATAAGGAAAGGTTAGTGTCCTAGTTTGTTCTTCATTGCTGTGACAAAACACTCTGACCACTACCAACTTGGGGAGGAAAGAGTTTATTTAGCTTACATATCCCAGGTCAAAGTTCATCCAGGAGCCCAAGTTAGGAACTCAGGGCAGGAACCTGGTGGCAGGAGCTGGAGCACAGGCCATGGAGGAATGCTGCTTACTGTCTTCCTTCCCTGGCCCCTGCTCAACCTGCTTTCTTATGCACCACAGGCCCACCTGCCCAGGTATGGCACCACCCACAGCAGGCTGGGCCCGCCCACATCACTCATCAAGAAGATGCCCCTCAGACATGTGGCCACAGGCCAGTCCAATGGAGGCAATTCCCCAACTGTGGCTCCCTCAACCCAGGTGTGTCAAGTTGACACTAAAGCTATCCAGCACAGTTAGCCATGATAATCAGAATTTTCCAATTTGTATCTTTAATGGCTTAACGCTTATCACTTTAGTACCGCTTCATCTTAGCCCCACCCCCGCTTTGACTTGAAAACGGAATTGTTTTTTCATCCTGTGTCTGCAGTGGTAGATAATATCATACAATAGACCACAACTGTACCCGCTCTCTTCGTCGAAGACATGCTGATAAGTTTCTATGTAGTATAGTTCCTAGGGACAGATCACCGATGGGCACAGGAACAGTACTTAAGAAAGGCTCATATATTTCTTCTAATTCAGCTTCTTCTATTGCACCAAGTCGTGGAGTGGCAAACACTAGCATGTGACATCCGCCACAAGCAATCTACAAGAAAAATCGATCAGTGTTAGTATGCTAGTTAATATCTGTCAATGTGACACTAACTAGCTGACACCTGGGAGGAAGGAAACCTCAGATGAGGAATTTCCTACATCAGATTAGCCTGCGAGCCTGTCTGCCAGGCATTTTCTTGATTGTTGGTTGATGTGAAAGGATCCAGCTGACTGTGTGCTAAGCAAGCCAGGATGAGCAAGTCTAAGCTGCACTCCTCCATGGTCTCTGCTTGAGTTCCTACCCTGACTTCTCACAATGATGGACTATGATTGGGAGATGTAAGCCAAATAAACCCTTTCCTCCTCAAATTGGTTTTGATCAGTGTTTTGTCACAGCAACAAAAAGCAAAGTAGAAAAGCCAGCATCAACCACAAATGGGTTAGCAACTATCAAAATGGCAAGAAGATGTTTACATAGACATAAAGCTTCTAGGATGGAGTAACTCACTGATTTTCCCTGCTCTGTTATTCTCCTCAGCTAAACATATGTACAAATACACTTACACATTTATATAATTATATGATATATATGTATATATGAATTATATACATATGATAGTTAAATGATTTCAAGTGACTATTAAAACAGGTTTAATTCACCATTGACTTTCATTCTAATACAATATAGAGAAAATATACTTGTCACATTACCATTACTAATTACATTAAAATTAGTGAAGAGTATATTTTGATCTTATAACAACATTAAAAACTTGAAAAATATTCAGGAAAGTTTTACTAGGGAAAAAGGACATAAGAATAACTAGGTTTTTGGCCTTTGCAATCATGAAACAAATAGCAGTTATGCATACCTGGACAAGGCCTGCACAAAACTGGGCCCTTCAACATTCCATTGCAGATGGGAGAGGCAGCCATGAGGTTTACACCATTCCCAAGGAACTATTGGCAGTAAACTGCTACTGAGGGAGAGGTGAACATTTTGTTCAGTGATATAGCCACTTGTATGGCTACATCAGGTTTTAACACATAACTCCCTAACATGCTTATGTAAGCTACCTTGACTGATTTGTACAAAAATGACTACTGTGAGCAAGGCACTCTACTGGCTACTTGTTACAGGAGATACAAAGCCTACAAGGCATGGAAGTCCTGGCTTTCAAGAGACATAAACCTGAAACAGGAAAGTCAAGATTTGTACAAAAATGACTATGTTGAAGGAACAGACTTAGAAAAAGATAGATTTTCAGAGCAGTATCATGTCTAAAATTTTTCTCTTATTAGCTGGTTATATTTATTAGCTATATCTATGATATTCTTCCATACAAACATAAAAATACATATTTTCTGTGAAATAACAAAAGACTCAAATCTAGAATATGAAAATATACAAAAGGGAATGTGAAAGCCTTACCAATTGAACTGTAAATTTCAAAAAATTTGAGCACAATGTAGGAAAGAATTGATTGGTAAAATTCTCCATTCCAAGTCCTAATTTTCCATGTCGGCCATCACCAAAAGTATACATAAGGCCTTTATCTAAAATGCAAACAAAATCGAAGAGAATTATAGAAGTTCTATTTGTTCAAATCGATCTATAAACAAGTACCCTAACTTCTACTGCAATCATAATCCTATAGAATTCTGCATTCAAATCACACTGGTCCACTGAGATAGCCACATTACAGTATTTGCGGTTCTACATTAAGAGTAGGCAATTGAAACAGAATGCATCATTAAGTCTTGGTGGTCAAAGTCTTGTCATGCAAGACATTGTGTGGATCAGCAGTGACACCAGACAAGATTTTGTGACAGGCATTATAGTCTCAAAGAGAGGGAGGTGTTTCTGTTCTACATGCTATCTAGTTTTCTTCCCCTAGGTAGATCAGTGTCTTAGGTTTGGCACTATGACATTTGGAGAAGAATAATTCTTGGTTCTGTGTGTCTGTCCTATGCACTGTAGTCTATTTAGTATCATCTCCGGCCTCTGTCCAGTACAACCCCTCTATGCAGCACTGATCATCAAAAATGTCGCCAAACATCACTTGTGTCTCTCAGGGGTGCAAATATGTCACCAGTAGAGAAATACTGACTTATAATGCAATTATCTTTTTTATTAATTTGGGTCCTGATCTGTGCAGTGCTACATAAGCAATTTCATGAGTCAATCCCCGTACCACTATCTGTGTTTCGGCTATAGGTGGGCCCAAAATGATGAGCAATTAAATTCTATCATGTCTCTCTAGACAACCCATTCACATACTACCATAGCAGTTATTTTACACTTTTGCTCTTTTTTTCAAGCCCCTCCTTCAGACAGATCCTGTATTACTTAAGGGTATGGGGTAAGTGCCATAGAAGCAGAACTAATGTGTACCAGTAGGGTGCAGAGGAGGACAATTGCTCTCTAATCTAGGGACTAAGGAAGGTTTACAAAGTGAATCCTAAAGGATGGGTAGAAGTTCGTTGTAAGGAGAAAATAAAAAATCCTCCAGGGAGAGTCGGCAGTAAAAAGGAAGTCCCTGAGTCAAGGGAACATGGCTCGGGCAAGAAGCTGGACGGTAATCAGTGAGCCAGGAGCACAAAGGGGGGAACTTGAAGGAATTCTGATTCTGAAGAGGCAACAAAACAATACCATGGAAGGTTAAATTCATTCACATTATAAAATATTGAATTATATGAATGGCTTTAAGCTGGGAAATGATGAGTCAGATTTGGGGACTTCTGATTTAAGAAGGCAAAGTGACAGCACACTAAAAAAATCCACAAGTTTTGACTGAAAACTGATTTGAAAGAACAGAATTCAGTAAGGGGGTAAATTACTATTTTAGATTCTAAAAGTAAACCAATTCCTTCTTTTGATTCTGATTTCTCTGTCTACAATGCTTTTCAAACTGATTTTCTTATGCCTGAAAAAGTAAATTCTGATCCAGTTTGCCTGATTGCAATTCCAACATCAAAGAATTTATAAAATGTGCTACTGATAAGGAATTGGTAAGAATTTAAGAAAACTCACCACACATGTGTCATCAGTACTAGAGGGGGAAAAACCTTTACCACTTGTCCCCTAGGAAGAGGGACAAGCAAAAAGGCAAAGAAAATTAATACTTAGTTGTTTGTGCTATATAATTCTTTCATTGGGTGGAAAAGGTAGTATGAAAACTTAACAATCTAATCAATGAAAAGCTTGTATTTACCATCAATGGTAATTTAGAGTTGATAAAAATGGCAATACAGAGAAGCTATTACTAGAACACCACAGTAAGGGACACACATCAACTCCTTTGGGATGATGAAGGAATAATACTTTTTACATTCTACATAGTGCTATTACATGCCATGTTATTAAGACCATCAATACTTGACAATGGATAGGTCATTTTTTTCTGAAGCGTTCTGTGGGAAAGAAGGAACCATTTATGGTAGTACCTTGTAGTTGCTGATTCCTATTTTCTCTAAACACATAACACTGCATGAGCCCCACTGTAGTTGGAACTTTTTTTGATAGAATGGGGAAAACAGAAATATGGGAGTCTGAATTGTTTAAATATACTAGGCTGACTTCTGAAATTTTCATGCTTTATTTTTAGGTAGAAGCAATGAAATGACATATGCTTTAAAAAGAAAAACATTTAAGTTGTGGAGTACGTAAGATTATCTGCAGATATAGGGAGAATTTTGTTTAGTTCTGCATTATTAGCAACAGCTAGTTTATGAAATCAAGAAGGAAAAAGGGACGTTTCCTCATATAAAGCAGAAACTAGAGAGTGGGAGATGTATTTATTCAGTGGTCTTTGGGGTGCCCTTCTCCCTATCCTTGGGGAAAATAAAAGGAAGGAGTCATTACTACATCACCCCCTGGTGGCAAACACATTTTAAGAATTTACTCATGCTGACTGCTGCTCTTTCATATAAGGTAGGAAGAAAGCTCTAAAATAAGCTCTTCTTGTATGATTTTCCTCTGACTTGAGAGTTATGAGAAGAGATAATTTCAAACTGATACAATTTCAAAAGGATTCCAGCTTTCTGCCAAAGTATAATATTATGGTCTTACTTTTGACCAAAGGTCTCCTCTTTTATGGTTCTAAATCTGGATCATTACTTTTTTGGTTCAGGGAGACTGAACCCAAGGTCCCACACAAGCTAAGTGCATGTTTTACAAATGAGTTCTATCCCAGCCTCGACATTTATTTTAAACTGAATTAAAATAACCAAAAGGATTTATAAATACTTTGGAATATTTATCAAAGAATTTCATTTACTCAGTAATTAATTCCTTAAGAAGTTAGATATATCTATTCCACATGTTATTCATTTTATAATAAAATGTATCTAATTCTATAAACAGAAAACAGATCATTGAATTTATACCTGTCATCAAAGCTGTGTGATTTTCTCCACAAGAAATATAGCTTATTTTCTGATCCTTAACATGATCAATGACTTTGGGTTCTGGTGTTTCAAAAAGGAAAGTGCCAAGGCCCAGCTGACCAAACTGCCCCAGCCCAAAGGCATACACAACATTTTCTAAAAGGAAATGGGAAAATATAAGAAAGCAGTTTCATAGAAGCAACACCATCCCTATCACATCTAAAATAATGGTGACATTCAAACTTTCATTAATGGAGGTTAATTACTTCTAAAAGAAATATCCATAAAAATACAAACATGAACTGTAAATTTTCAATAATGAAGAAAGAGAAAAATTAAATCTTATAAAATCATGACATAGCTCTCATTTTGTCTTCTATACATGACTATAAAAGGAATGACTAAGTAACAGGTAGGATATAAGACACATGATTTAGGGAATTATCTGGCATGTCTTTATAATCAGCTGTAAAGGTATCAACTTATATTAAACTAAATCCTATAGTTTCCTATAAAAGTCTCTTACTTTTTTATTTTTATTTTTGTATCTCTTATTTTTAAAAAATAGTTTAATAGAACTATTTTATGAAACACAATTGCTGAGCTGGAGGTGTGGCTGAAGGTAGAGCAGTTGCCTAGCATGCACAAGGCCCAGGGTTCTAAACACACACACATACACAATTTTAGAAAATAATTTGCATGAGAATTAAAACTTATCGGGCATACGATAGATTTTTTTATAAGTAAAATTTCTTTACTAGGAAATGCAATACAGGAGGAGAAAAAGCTTCCTTCGATGTTGCTATTTTTGAGGTGGTAACAAAGTCCTTCAATAATTCAGCAAATTTGAACTCCTACCATTTACAGATGACAAAGCTGAAAATCAGGATATATGAACGGTAACAACAGTCACTGTTGAAACAATTTCACTGGTCAGTACACTAGGAAACAGTGTGATTGTGTTACTCACTTCCCCTTATCTCAGTGTATGAACTCACATAGAAAGAAGAATAAGAATTACTCATTTAGGCCAGAAACAAATCTTCATCATTACTAGCTGTAGAAAGTAGGCATGTTGCTTAGATTATCTATTGGTAAAACCCTATCTAATAGGATTATTGAAGAAACATTATTCAGGTATATTTTAAAACATTCAGTTATAACAAATTTTTCTGAACAGTATCTAATCAACTCATCTAATTCTGAGAGGAAGGGGTACTGATGAACACAAAACTATTGTCACATATTTTACATTTTTTTTCTAATAGGAATGCTTGCTACACAAATAAGATATACAGATAATACTCCTTAAAGAAAATACACCTGGGGCTGGAAAGATGGCTCAGCAGTTAAGAGCATTGGTTGCTTTAGCAGAGGACCCGAGTTCAGTTTCCAGCACCCACATGGCAGCTAACAACCGTCTATAACTCCAGTTGCAGAGGAATCTGACATCCTCTTCTGACCTCTGCGGACATTCCATGACACAGGTGCACTTTCATATATGCAGTCAATATACTTATACACACAAAATAAAAATAATAAAATATTTTTAAAAAGAAAATACACCCATAACAAGGATATGAAGGTATACTGAGGCAGTGGCAAAAGAGATTCTCATTTTAATATAAAATATCATCTCTTAGCTAATTAGTAAATCATACAGCATATTTCCCATTCTGAGTGTACTAATGTTCTGTACATGTTTTTCATTTATTACAACCTTTTCCTATATTCCTCCATTCAGTCTTGGCTGCCAAAGTCAGACAGACAGAAAACACAAGGACATTTTTTTTTCCTTGCATATGTAGTGGAAACCTAAACAGCAAATAGTAACTATTCTATGTTTTCAAATAGATGCACTGCATAATGTTTAACAAAAAAGGCCTTATTTATATTCTAATATTTTTAAACATCTGGAGAGGACAGTCAGTTTTTGGAAACATGATTTTTATCTTCAAAACAATCTCCTCAGATGGCTAGATATATTTAATATATTTTATTTTATTTTATTTTATTTTATTTTATTTTATTTGACACAAGGTCTTGCTATGTAGCTCAGCTCAGGCTACTCTCAAATTGATGATCCTCTGCCTAAGCCTCCCAAAAGTTAGGATTACACACTGTGTGCCTTTATGCCGCCTTTTATTTGTTTTTTTTGATATGGAGGTCTTACTATGTAGTCCATGGTGCTGCTGAGCTTAGTTTCAGCCTCCTGAGTTCTAGAATTACAAATATGTGCTACTATGCTTAGTCATTTTGAATTTTAAACAAAAAGAAAAGTATGGATCTTCTTGCTTACCACACACAAAAAAAATATTTTATAAGTACGGCTGAATGATAATCAACATTTGTGCCATTCAGAATAAACTTGAGCCACTTAGTAAATTAATTTCATAATTACTGCAAAAATCAGAAATACATAAAGCATAAAGAAGTTGCATTTCTGTATATAGAATGTTTCAAATAAATTGTAAATATTAAATACCTTTGAAATTACATGAAAATTCACTTTATCAGTAGGAATTCAATAAATTCTTAAACTTTAGAATCATTTCCAAATTTAGAGTATACTTTTTGAAAACAAATTATTACTACCTTAGAAAAGACCCCATCTAAAAATTACAGTTCTAGGAAATCAAAGCTTACTGAACATGATGAGGATGAAGTCAGCAAGTCAAGGAGAAGCAGTGGAGGAAAGTTTAAATGCAAAATATCTCTCACTGTACCTGGCAACATTCAGCATATCATCTGAGAAATGGCTATTAAAAATTTTCTAACTTTGGGTTACAAAAGATTAAGCAATGACCAGATCTTTTCATTTGTGTGCATGCATACATGTGCATGTGCGTGTGCGTGTGCGTGTGTGTGTGTGCGTGTGTGTGTGTGTGTGTGTGTGTGCCTGAGAAAGTATGTTATGTGTACTACATACATACAGGTGTCTGCAGAGGTCAGAAGAGGGTGTAGATCTCCTGAACCTGGATTTACAGGCTGTTGTGAGGTCCCAGATGTAGGTGCTGGGAAAAAAACTTAGGTCCTCTCCAAAAGCAGCAAATGCTCTTAACCACCATCTCTCCAGCCTCAGTTAATTTATTTTTGATTTTAAAAAAATCTCATAACAATAATCCACTACCTAAATATACTACCACTACATTACTCATCTAAAATAAATCTGATGCTGAACAAATTGAGAAAATGTATTTAGGTGGTGTATTATCAAATTGTGATCATATCTGAATATATTGACTAGAAACTGAAAAAAGGCACATCATACCAAATATAAAAGTCAGAAGCAAAAAAGCCACTACTTTAAAAATTCTAACTTTTTTATCTGTAATCTAAAACCTCACAACTTTTCATTGACTTATAACAGAATGTAAAATCACAAAGAAATCTTTAAATTACACATTGTAAATACCACAATGAATGAAGAACATTACAAAATAGCATGAATAGAGCTTCTTCAAACAAAAGTATTTTGGGAAAAATAATATCAACTTTAGATAAATATTGAATATACATAAACATAGTGAACATACTTGAAAATGAATTAAAACAATGTTATTTGCTGCAATGAAATGTTCTATGGCTGGGAAAATATTATTTAAGCTAGCAGAAGCAATTCAGTAAGATCCTGTTCTTCCTACTTAAAAAAATTCTTCCATGAGCCAGAACTATATGAATAAAAGTTGGGATTGTAATGGAAAGAGATGCCAGGTCATTTTACATGAGCGATCTATAAGCGTCAAACTCACAGAAGCTGAGAATGGTGGCTTCCAGGAGCTGGGCAAAGGGGTCGTATTCTACAACAGACACAAAAGTTCAGCTACACAAGAAAGATTTTAAATATGCAATGCTGTGTATACACAACAATCCCATAGTCTATACTTAAAATCCATTTAGAAGTCAGAGTTTGTATTAAGTGTTTTTTTAGATTACATTTTATTCATGTTTGTTTTGTTTTTATGTGTGCACAGGTGCCTACAGAAGCCAGAAAAAGGTGTCACATCCCTTGGAGATGGAGTTGTAGGTATCTGTGAGCCACCCAATGTGGGTTCTGGGATCCAAACTCAGGTCCTTGTGATGGAGCAGCAAGCACTCTTAATTGCTGAGCCATCTCTCCAGCCCCAGGTGTTATTATCTTGTCACATTTTTGTTGTTGTTATTGTTGTTGTTTTGAGACAGAACAGAGTCTCCCTATAGTCCCAACTGTCCTGGAACTCACTATGTAGACCAGGCTGGCCTTGAACTCACAGAGATATGCCTGCCTCTGCTTCTCAAGTGCTGGGATCAAAGGTGTGCGCCACCACCACTGGTTTTATCTTGTCACATTTTTTTTTAAAGTCATTACAGCCGGGTGTGGTGGCACATGCCTTTAATCCCAGCACTCGGGAGGCAGAGTCAGGCAGATCTCTGTGAGTTCAAGGCCAGCCTGGTCTACATAGTGAGTTCCAGGACAGTTGGGGCTACAGGGAGACCCTGTCTCAAAAAAAAAAAAAAAACCAAAGAAAAAAAAAGTCATTACAAATGTCATTAGCTACCAGTGAGTTAAGGGAACGGAGCAAGCAGCTCCACACATACCTGTGAGAACCACCGTGTGCCCTCCACCACAGGCTACTTGAACTACCTTCTCAGGAATTGCGATCACATGCTGGGGTGATCTATGATTTATCAGCAGCTGGTTGGGAAGGCCCAACTTTCCATTCTCGGGTTCTCCAAATGTGTATAGTTCCCCATCTACTGTTGAAGGAAAAGTAGAATGATTACTGATGACATAAATGCAAACAAAATATTGGTCCTTTGGCACATGTTGTAATGCTCAACAAAAATTTAGACAATAACTTAATAAACCTGGCATTTCTTAAGATTTTTACTGCATAGTAAAACTAGATTTTCTTTTCGTTCATAAAGAATTTGTGACTATTACTACTAATAAAGAACTAGAAAATCACATTAGCTGTTTCACAAAACATAACAAAGACTATCTTATACATTATATTTATTTGTTTTCGGGGTTCTGGTTTTTTGAGGGGTTTGTTTTTAGATGATACTGGGGACTAAACTTAGGGATTCTCACATACTAGTCAAGTGCTCTACCACTGAGTTCAGTCCTCAGCACTCTTCCTTTTTGAAATTTTGAGACTGAGTCTTACTAAGTTGTCTAGGCTGTCCCTGAATTTACTCTTGAAGCCCACGAAGGCCTTGAATTTGCAATCCTTCTCCTTTAGCCTCCAGAGTAACTAGAGTTATAGGCCTCTGCAATCAGGGCCAGAATAAAAGTTTTTTTTTAATGATTCTTATTCTAGAAAGTTCACTTATACATGAGATACCTAGGCTGAGTACCTCTTAACATTAACAGATTTTATTCAGGTAAATGGCACTACTAATGATCACTACCTTGTCCATACTAACAATAACACTATTTACTTTCTTCTGCATTATACATATCACACTATGACTGTGAGCTTCTTGAAAGCAAGAACATTTTTATTCACTCTTGTAATACTAGAACTTATTCATCTCATCACACTAACAATCACTGTTCCTACAACAGGAATAAAATAGGAATGAAAGTGCCATGTCTATGGCTTGATGTTTCATACAAATAAACTCATTAATGAATTTAGACATACTTAGAACACATAGGCAGTATCTATTTATTATTACTTGCTGCCACATCTTCTTCTATCTTCTGTATGTATGTGCAGAAAAACTGTGCTGATATAACTAATACAGATCTATAGGGGAGTTCGAAGATCAGGCTTTGCATTCTGTTTCTGTAACTCAGATGCAGCATGATCTTGTGTCTGGCCTAGATATGAAATCAGAGATGACCAAGCCTGACTCACAGAGTTGTTAGAACCATAAATGAAAGATATTTGTAGTTCATAATGTTTTCTTAATAGTGAAACATTGTGTATCTTAGAGCCAGAAGACCATGAACTCTTAAGGGATAAGTACTATGCTTTAATCAACTTCCTAAGAAACAGTTCTTTTTAATAATTTTTAAAATTCTTTTCACAACTTTGTGCATGTATACAATGTATGGCCCTCTCCTAGTCCCATTAAACCCTTTCTTCTTCCCAACAAATCCCCCTCCTGATTTTATATCTTTTTGTTTGGTTTTATGATCCCCTGGTTTAATTACTTTCTGACATGAGCACTGGTAATGGCAGCCTACTCATGACTATGCCACTGAAAAAACTGAATTCTACTCCCCATTCAACCATTATCTGCCAATAGGTCCTCAAGCAGGGGTTGGACCTCATGAGCCCCTAATCCATGATAGAAGATTGAGGAGCCTCTCATCTTGTCCAGGTCTTGTTAAGTAACCACAGCACTGTGAGATCATGTGTGCAGTGGCCATCTCATGTCTAGAAGACAGCACTTCACAGCACGCCTCCCAATCTTCCAGCTATTATAGTCTTTTCTTCCCATCTTCTGTGATGTTACCTATGCCTTCGAGCAGTGATACAGATGTCCCGGTCAGGGCTGAGCACTCAACAGTCACTTACTCTCAGCAGTCTGACCACTTATGAGTCTCTGCATTAACTGCTGTTTTAAGAGAGTCCACTAAACTATTTCATTTGGGTATCCGATTAATAGAGAAAGCACCAATTAGAAAGAAATCCACGATCATACTTCTATGATTACTAGCATAGATGTACACATAGACAAACATAAAGAGTTCATAATCACAATACTTTAAGGCATAAAAATCTGCTAATGGACCCAGCAAAGACAAAGTCTGGGGATTCTGGGAAAAGTCTTACCAAAGGGTTAACATCTCTTCATGTTCCATCTAATCTTTAGCGTGGTTCCCTTGGGAATATTCTATGACTCATTTATTTGAAATAAAAGATAAGATCAGAACAAGAATACAGTAGGTCAAAGCACAGAAGGGATCCAGGAGAAAGTGACTCATCAGTCATGTTTTAACTGCCAAATAGTACTAAGAAGTTTGAGAACCAAAATTTAGAAGGGTTTCTAACATATCAATTTTCAAATAGACCTAGTATTCACTTTCTAAAAAGCTAAGCATGCAAGAAGAGAATTTGAAATTATAAAGCATCAATGTAAAAATGGAGAAATGCTTTGAATTAAAACATACTCAAAATATGTCTTTAGATTAACAATCATGCCATTATTTCTACAGAAATATAGAATGTTATATAATTTTGTGAGCAGTGATAATAAAAAAAGAGATAATACAATGAATAAAAAATGTTCATCTTACTGGTTACAAAGGCTGAATGGTAATAGCCACAGGAGATCCATGAGATTGGCTTCCCAATGGTCACTTCATGAGGAATGCATACATTACTTTTGTTTTTTAAACCAATTTGGCCTTCAGAATTGTCACCCCACATAAAAAGTTTGCCATCCTCTATAAATAAAAAATAAGGGGGGAAATGCCTTTAAAAGGGTAGCCAAGTTCTCAAGCTACTACATTTCTTTGAAACTATTATTTTTTCCAGCTTATACTTCTTTAGTTTCATTTTATTTTTTGTTGACTCATAACAACTGTACATATTTATGGCATGCAACATGATCTCTCAATATATCTATATACTATAATGTTCAAATTAGAGTAATTAGTATATCAATCATTTTAAACATTTGTTTTCATTCCTTTGAGTTGAGAGCATTCAAACTCCTCTGTTGTAGTGCCTTCAAAACAAACAACACAGCCAGGCATGGTGGCACATGCCTGTGATCCCAGCATTCAGGAGGCTAAGGCAGAAGGAATGCTGGGAATTTAAAACCAGTCAGAGCTACATAGCAAATACTGCACCAGCTACGTTCATACCATAGTAAGACTGTCTCAAAAGAATAAACAATTAGAAAAAAAGAAAAAAGAAACACACAAAACATTATTATTATTCATTTTTAACACTAAATTCTGAAAAATATGTCATAAAATTACCAAGACATATATGCCACGTAGTGACTTGGGAGTGCAATTTCTATTGTTAAATGCTCTATTATGATAAAGAACAGAGAATGAGTTGACTGTAAATCACTTTAGTTATGTCCATACTTTTCTCACTGAATTCTTGCAAATTTCATACATTTTGATCATATTTAGATACCTCCCATATCTGCATCTCCCTACGTTACCCCCACCCAATTTCATGCACTCCCTTATGACTTAATAGGCCTTTATAAAGTCCATACTTTTCATCATAGTACTAGACACAGGATGTCATTTCCTTTAATCACCTTATATCATTTTAGTATCTCTAAGCAGAAGCATGTCCCTCCCTCCAGGGAGTCTGGCGGCCACTGAACAGAGAGACAGCACAAGTCACCTCTCTAGATCAGAAGAACAAGTCCTAAGTCAAAGAGGGGAAAGGGAAGAGCTTTCTCTTTAGAACACTGCAGAAATGGTTCAAAGGAGAAGGAAGGAAGAGAAGAAATGTATTTATTTTACCAACTTTTTATCTTAAGATTTGTATTTGAGGGCCAGAGAGATGGCCCATCAGTTAAGAGCACCGACTACTCTTGCAGAGGTTTAATTCCCAGTACCCACATGGTGGCTAACAACCACCTGTAACTCCAGTTCCAGGGGATCTCATACCTTCTTCTGACCTCCACAGGCATTGCACAACACAGGTGAACTTACACATGCAAGCAATATACTCATACACAGAAAATAAAAAATAATGAATAAAAAAAATATTAAAGATTTGCACCTGGAAATACAGCTTCAGAGGCTGAAGAGATTTGCTAGAATATAGTATATTAAAAACTGATACACTTATATCCTTTATGATGAGGGATTCAGTGCTAGGAAAAGTTAAGCTAAACAAAGATAAATATTTTAGGAATTACTTATTTATATTTACTTCTACTTTTGGGGTTTTTTTTTTTTGAGACAGCATCTTACCATGTAGTCCAGGCAAACCTTGAACGTAGGATCACCTTGCCTCTAACCTCAAAGTTAAGGAGTAATATTAAAGGTGCCACCACAACCAACAAGTTCTATCTTTTAATGAACTAAATTGACTAATCTTCGAGATGGCTTAATAAAAAGTCAAAATTAAAATTAAAATAAGAACTGAAAGAATGACATTGAAGAGCTAAACATATGGCTCATAAAACAGATACAAGTCCGATTTTCCCAGTGACCAAAGCAACACTCGATATTTAGTCTCCTGCTTAGAAGAAAGCAGCAAGCCAGCAGCTTCAATGAGATCACAATGATTACAGCTCCAACTGTGAAAGTAAGTTATTATAGGTACTTTTGATAAGGAGGACAGACAGATGCAATGACCATTGTAAACCACATTTAAAATATATATATCAACTGATTTCTATGGCTATTTCTTATTGCAACTTCAGTTAAAGCTGCAAGGATGCCTCTAAGAATGTGTAATGAATATAACATTTAAGAATATCTAAAACTCTGTATGGACACCAGAGCTTATAACTTACTTTGCAATTGCCTTCTTTGGAAAGTATAGAGGTGATGAAAGAAAGCCGGTGCTACTGTTTTGAATTTGCTAAGTTGGTATAGCCTGTGGAAAGAGAAAGATGCTTCCAAATAGAAATGCAAAGTCACTCACTCACCAGTTAGTGCAGCTGAAGTATTAGCTCCTGCAGAGAGCTGTTTAATTGGATCACTGTGTGCAAAAAAGGTAATCTGATGAAAAGTGTCTCGGTCATCAGTGTCACCAAGTCCCAACTGTCCTTCATTATTTCCTCCAGCTGCATATACGCTGCCTTTATCTGCACATGTAGAAAAAATGTTAATGTAGTAGAGTCACCCTGTTTATGAGACATACCAGCATACCAGCTCTCTCCTCTATTAGCAGAGAGACTATGAACAAAGGTAAGAGAGGTATAGAGGAGCCAAGGCACAGAGCAGCTGGAAGACAAAAGCAGTCAGGGGAGAAGGGGAGACAGGAAGGGCTACTAAATTTGACACTGCTAATATTAATTATTAATATAATATTAATTATACTTTTTACCACTGAGACCCTTTGTTAGAAATCAGCTCTTGGAGGTATAGCTCGGTGGTAGAATACTTGACTGTAGAGAACAGTAGGGCATATATGTGTCTGTCTACTTCTGGACTCTATTTTGTTTCATTAAGCTTCACCTATTTTCTGCCACTACTACACTGTCATAATTACTTGTAGCTGTGTAGCAGGGCTTGAAATCAGAATATTGCTAGCCCTCTGGTTTTGTTCTTTTAAAAATAGTTTTGGCTATTCTATGCCTTTCAGCTTTCTTTATAAATTTAAAATCACTCTGTCAACTGCTATACACAGTACTCAGCTGATTTAGATTCTGATTGGAACTGAGATGGCTCCTATCAGTAGCCTTTTGTCTGGCTTCCACTCATCCCTGAACAAATGAGAGTGGAAAACAGGAGCAAGTTGCCCTGGCTATGCCTTGCCCACAGGTAAAAAGATTCTATTCCTTGACATAACCCAAGAAAAGCTTTCTCTTTTGCCATTTAGCATTTATTTGCATATTTACAAAGGCATGTCCAAAATCCTTACATTGTTAAAAACTCTATTGTCCAAATATCATGAATATTAATTTTACAAAGCCACAAATATTAATGAAGTGAGACCTCAGTTCTCAAGGCCAGATTGGAAACCACACAGATTGAATACTTTACCTGTTGACACTAATGTGTGGTTTCTTCCACAAGCAGCAAGTTTCACTTTTTCAGGCTTAAGAGCTAAACATATAAGAATATGACAATTAAAATATTTTATGGGTATGAAAATGAAATATAAAATATTTTATGGGTATGAGATAATATAGGTCAAGTGGTAAGCAAGGGGTGGAACTGAGACATTTATTTATTTTAGTACTGGGCATGGACTCCAGGGCTTTGAGCATGGTAAGAATATACTATGAAATTGTAGCCCCAGAACCAAGATCTAAAAGCAGGTCTAATAGTCTGGTTTCTCTTCAGATCATATAAATCTTTTGCCTTTTAAAAGCAGGATTATTTGACTCCACGGTCAATGTTCTCAACTAATCGAGACATTTTTCAAACAGCTATACATCATAATAACCACTGGAGTGGAACAGTGAGTCATTGGGAGGGAGGGAGGGCCAAGGCATCTAATTTTAAAAAAATATATAGGTAATCAATAAATGTCAAGATTTAGAATATTCTGTTGTGCTGTGTCCTCACCAACTTAATCTATTAGAAAACTCTTACTAACTTAATCTATTACCCAACCGGACATCACCTTCTATGACAATAAAAACTGTAAGGCCAACAGTCATAGCATATACCATAAAGTTGTTCATTTATTCATCTACATATTTTAAAGAAACATTGATAGACTATCGCCAAATCACTTGGCAAAGCAGCTGCACAGATGGCTGAGTCCCTGCTGTCATGCTTCTCCTAAGCTACCATAATGTTCATTTGACTATTAGGTATTTCTAAGGTCATGGTCACTGGGAACATCCCTAAGTATCCTGTAATCTGTGCTCAACAAATACTTTCTGACCATGATTTTAAAGTCCAACAAAATACACCTACCATTTGACCAGGTTCTACCACTCCTTGGCATACACTCAAAGGACTCATCCTATTGCAGAGATACTTGTTCAACCATGTTTGTTGCTGCTCTTTTCACAATAGCTAAGAGATGGAAGCAACCTAAGTGCCCTTCAGTTGATGAGTGGATAATGAAAATGTGGTACATTCACACAATTTCTACTCAGAGGTAAACAAAGATGAAATCATGAAGTTTGCAGGTAAATGGAAGGAACTGGAAGGTGTTATACCAAGTAAAGTAACACAGACTCAGAAAAACAAATGCTCTGTGTTCTCCCTCATTTGTGGTTCCTACCATCAAATCTTTATATGTGAGTATGTATACTGATGCAAATGTAGGAACCAGGAAAATGGAAAGGAACGAGGCAGGTAAAAGGAAAGAAGAAACCTGAGACAGAACAGTAGGAGACAGGTGTTGCTAAGGGATAAATGGGGAAAATGAGGATACTTCAAATGGGAAGGGTGTGGAGGGAGGGTTGAACAGGGAAAGAGATGAGAGGTAAATAATGCCTAGCTAGTGTAAAAAACCAAATGGAATCATATTAGTCCAAACACCTATTGACAAATTACACATACAATATCTCTACATGAGTCCATGTATGTAGCTAAAGGCTACATAAAAAGAAAATGCCAGACAGGAGAAACCTTCCTTTGAGGTTTTGGTCAGGGTAGTCCAAGAGACTCCCAAATTTACATATGCTATTGCCACAGCCCTAGATTACCTCCAAGAACAGGAAGATAAAGTCCTATTGCTAAAGACAACATACTTCAGACACGGGATTTGGAGCAATTAAGTTGGAACTGACCTGGAAGCCACTTCCCCTGAAGGCTAGCTCTTATAGTTTTGGAGAGCACTACAAAAGCTGCTAAGGGAGAACATCAATCGATGGTCCAACCCCAGCTTCAAGGCCTAATAACCACATCAAAGACTGGCACAGCAAACGATATTGGTACAGTAGTGGCACTTTTCCCCAGGGTAATCAACAGCTACCTAATTGGACTTAAAGCCCACTCAATGGGAGGATACTCATGTGTGGTACTGTAAACATAGCCAAATAGACATGGCTGGAGAGGTAATAGATCTTAGAGAAAACCCAAAGACTGTCACATCCCTAGACAAATGTAATTTCTTACTGTATGCTAAATATGTATTCTTATATTTATAGACAACTATATCTTTCACCAGTCATCAAAGAAGCTTCTTTCACTACAGATGAGGACTAATACAGAGTTCCACAACTGGTCACTCACAGACACAGACTAGTCTGTGAATTGCCCAAGCCTATGTGACACATCTATGAACAGAACATAGAACAAGGGGTGAAGAAGACACTAATGCATCGCTCAAGTCTCATCAATGAAGCTCCCTCATGCAACAGAGGGCCAGGAACACAAAAGGTAACGAATGGTCAAATCATAGAGAACAATAGTCTTCAGAGCATTGGTACTTGGACAGGACTCCTATATTAAACTTCACCCACCCAGGGCTCAGAGGTCATTTTGGAAGAGGTGGCAGAAAGACAGTAAGAGCCAGGGAGGAGGTACATGAGCATATGGAAATAGAATCCTACAACTTCCTGGGATCTTGTTTATACGAACCTACAACAATGTTGTCAGCATGCACGAGACCTATGCCAACTCAAGCAGACAAAACCCCAGCACAGAACTGTGGAATTGGGCATCAGGTCCCAATCTTAATCAATTATTGGCAGCTGATTACTGCTGGGGGGGGTGAGGAAGAGCTGATCTTTTTATTTGGAGGGATTCAAGACAGGCTGACTAGACCCCTGGAGATGAATTTACACTGAGGGACATCTGGGGAAACTAACTTGACAAGATAGGCCTTAACACAAATGACAGAATATATGAATCCCAGTGGGGGAGGCTATAGGAGGGTGCCAATGGGGAAGGGGGTATAAAGCTGAATAAGATGTTCTATATGAAATAAACAAAAATTCAATAAATTTTTTTAAATAGTAGCTCTATTTGGATTGTGGAGAATGTATTTGGGGGAGAAAAAGTTCAACAATAATGCCAATAAATTGTATACACATTATAAATTCACACTGACATTTTAGGCTGAAATTTAAATTTTGGCCAGGAAGATAAAGAAAGCTGTTTTTGCCACATGCCCAGGAATTTCCATTAACTTTTAAAATCAGTTAATGTTGTTCCTAAGCTATACCCAGAAGTTTTGTATATGAAAGTGAGAAAGTTTTAACCTGTTTTACAAACACGCAAAAATACAAAAAGAATATTCACATGCAATACTATAGGATCATTACTTCCTTTGTGGTTGTTGGGTCTAGAATCAATGTGATGTTCAGACTCCAACATTAAAGTAGTTCTGAGTTTCATATACAGAGAAAAGTTAGCTGCTAATAGCATTCAAGTAAATGTTAGAAAATAAAAAAATAAAGATTTTCTTACTTATAATGCTTAAAACCCACAAAATCTGTATTAATGTACTCATTGTAATTTGTCAAATTCTTAAACGGATTACAAAAAGCCCCCAAACCTTTGATACATGTTGGTTTGCTGATGGTTGACTTTGATCCTAATCCTAACTGACCCCAGTTGTTACTGCCAAACATGTAAAGCTTATTATTTCCTAGAGGGAGGGAGAAAGAAACAAATTATTGTTCATATAAATGAGACAAATTAATCGTAAGAACACAAAAATATATACTTTGTCAAAGAGTAGGAAAGAGGAGCAAGTTACCTTGTCCATCCATGTGCAGTAGATTGCATTAGGTGTAGAGAGTAACTAAGATTATATGGTAACACTTTTTATTATATTGAAATAGATTCCAAGAAAGTTGTATATGTAGAAAAATCACTTAACTATATACTAAGGTAACTTAAAATTGAAAATATTCTCTTGACTCAATTTGTAAGAATTTTCAGACAAGTAAAAAAAACCCCACTTTCTACATATTTTCAACACATTTAACACATTATGCCTGTTCTCAATATATGCGATAACAAAAATATTTAAGCAGTTTTATAAACAATAAAGAACGTTCACATGAAATACTGTAGGATCATCACTCCCTCTGTGGTTCCTGGGTTTAAAATCAATGAGATTTTTACAAACAAACATATTTTTTTTAATATTGTATTTTATGTGTAGGAGTGTATTGTTTGTATGTAGGTAGGTGTACCCATGTCGTGCAATGCCCGAGGAGGTCAGAAGAGGGCACCAGATCCCTTGGAACCAGAGTTACAGATGGTGTTAGCCTCCATGTACATGCTTGGAATTGAACCCAGGTCCTCTGCAAAAGCAGCCACTGCTCTTAACTGCTGAGGCATCTCTCCAGCTCTTAGACAAACATATTTTTAAGCAATAAAATACAGACTTTTAAAATGTCATTATCTTTCTTGCCCCTCTATGTATGGGCTGATTCTGTTAAGTGTAAAGAGTTCCTAAGATTAGATAGCCAACAGTTTTTTTATTAAGCACAGCACGTCTATAATATTTAGGATTCTCTAAGAATTACTGTCGTCTTTGTGGACTGTAATACTAACCTGTAACGATAGCAGTATGCTCATCTCCACATGAAAGACATACAGGAATGTCATTTTTAAACCAGAATTTGCTAGGAATATTTTCAGCAAATTTTGTTTTTCCAAATGTAAAAATAGCACCTGTATCTGCAAATATAAGACAGTTTTTATTTAATAACTTTAACTTTGTTGTCTTCTATTAAAACACATTTTCAATAACACACATATAAACCCTTTTCTCATGAAACCCTTGAGTCTGTGAACACAGTTTAAGCTTTCCTTCTTTCAACTTAATCCATTCCTACTCCTCAGACTTCATTCTAGTTTCAACTATGACATCTCTTAATTTGAACTTATGCTATTCATTTACTGATATGAAGTAAAAATACACAACCACAAGGAAAGCAGTCACCCATTACTACAGTTCTGCTGTTATGATTCCTGAATGGGCCAGTACCATATGTGCCTTCTACTCACTGACTAATACCTCATAGTCTGGGCCCTGACTGAGGGCTCTTTTTCACAGTAGACCAACACAGCACTTAGATTCTTCTTAGCATCACAAGACATTCATAGGGGAGGACTTACATAAGTCATTTTGGATTTTTTAGTACAGGTTTTCCAATGAATCTCCAGTATTCTCATACAAGGAAGGAATATTAGCACACATACTAAACTCTTTCTGCTATTCTAGGGGCGGGATAGACAGAAACAAATTATTTACTTTTAAAATTAATTTTTTTAAAATTATTATTAATTTAGTATTATCTTCTCACTTGCACTATGGGAAGCTATTAAAAGGCTTTAAAGTAAATTATGGGGCCCAGAGATGGCTCTGATGGTAAAGGTGCTTACTGCCAAAACTGCCGATCTGAGTTCAATTCCCAGAACCCACATGGCAGAAGGAGGGAACAAACTCCAGAAAGTTGCCTTCTGACATCCACATGTAGCATGTGTGAGTGAAAGAACACACAGAGAGAGAGATAGAGAGACAGAGAGAGGGAGAGAGAGAGACAGAGACAGAGATGCAGAGACACAGAGACAGAGAAACAGACTGTAAAAAAAAGTTAACGGAAATTATGTACACATTAGAATTCTTATTCTAATAATTAACAACATCATCCTGAACAAATCACTCTGCCAAGCCTTAACTTTCTCCTTTAAGGACTGTGGTCTTTACTGAACAGTGTTTAAATACCAGTGCTTTTTATATATCCTGAATCTAGAACAGGTAAAAACAGATTTTCTGTATACAATCTAGTAACTATACTCTAACACATCACACATTGCTATACTAATCTGTCTTTTATACCTAAAGAATCCAGTGCAGAGCTTACAATTCCCAACATGTTAGCTCACAGCTACCTCTGTCAACTCCTATTACAAAAATTGGAAGTGCTTACTGGTTTCTCAGAATTATGAGATATACAGAAGTTATATAGCAAACAATTATGCACTACTTAGCAATCTCTCTGATCAAACTATTATCCAAATGCTTATTGATCAATATTATTTTCTCAATTATATTCCAAATTTATTTTGACTGTAGACTGTCTTTCTCACTCATATACCTTGCACAAGGTAATCCTTTAATAAGTCTGATCTAATTCTCACACGAAGTTCCCTCTTATACATATGTATATTTATAACTGTTTCCAGGTCATCATAACGGCAAGTAGGCAGTCCCACACAGCTTTCAACATTTTCAGGATTAAAGATAGCAGACTACCCAAGCCCTAAACACAAAAAGACTTTCGTTTTCCAATTTCAATGGAGTAGAACTAAGAATCCAGTTTATGGATCAAGTACAAAACAGACCACGGTTCTGGAAGACTGGAAGACATGGATGTTTAGATTTAACATTCTTAAATTGTCGTGACTTGATCTGAGTTGACATACTTTTCTTTTTGGACCAGTAACATTTTCAAAAGACCAAACCTTGTCTTCAAGACCTAACCTTCAAAAGACCACTTCCCAGTAAATATTTAAACACACATCGCCCCAAAGACAAAGACCCAAGCTTCTGTGGAAATTCCAAAGAAAACATAATGGACATAAGTATTAATATATACCAATATGCAAGAGGCTAAGGTTTTTCTATGGAAAGCCTTTAGAGAACTGCTGTGAGGTAAAGCAGTTCAACTTAATAATTGGCAGTGGGGAGGCCAGGCACAAGGTTTCCCTACAGAAAACCACTTTAAGTCTTGTTTTCTGGCTCCACAGGAAGCAAGCCTTCTCTGACACTCCACCCCAAATCAGTGTTTGGTGGCTTTGCTCTGGCCCCTGGCATCTAATATGCAGCCTACTGTCACTTTATTTACTTTGTTGTACCTCCTAAGATTTTCCCAGGAGGCCAGAAATCAAACCGTGTTTGAACCAGGACCGCACCAAAAACCGCGCGATATGTGGTAACGAAGTGGTCCTTTTCGAAGTCTTAGCTGTGACCCATTAAGTGTCTGAAAATCAATTCAGTGGATTATGATCAGTAATTTTAACACATTATAGAGGAGCTCCGCTTTCCAAGGGGTTCTAACAAGTACTACTTCAGGAAACGCCTACGTCTGTTACGCAGTATGGAAGCCATGCTGGGTCATAATTCTAAACGTCCATCAAATTAACGTTAGAAGAAAGCCTTCCGTAAAAATTCATTCAAGGGCCCCCTTTTCCGTCTTTGTCCGGTTCGTTTCTCTTATCCCCTTTCACGTCTCACCCCACGTTCAACCAGTTACTGAATTCAGTACAAAACTAGGTCCTGGGGAAAGCCAATACCAAGTTTGAAGTGGGAACCTTGGGAAGTTTAGCTCGAGATTAAAAAGTGCCTCAGCCTCCGAGAAACGTCACCGAAATCTTACTGAGAAAAGGCAGGCGGCCACCTTACTCCCTTCTGTCCCTGTCCCTCTCTTCCAGTCCCATCTTCCTTCTGTTACTCGCTAAGGCGTGCCTAAAACTGCCGCCTCAGCCTAGGAGTTCAGGCTCTGGCCTGCACCGCACTGGGCCGGCCTGGAGGCGGGGCCTGGCCGCCCGCCCGCCCGCGGACCCTCCCTCCGGGTCAGCCGCCACAGCCGCGGCGCCACTCACCCGGCACCAATGACTCATACTCCGCCATGCTGAAGACTCTCAAGGGAACTACGGCTGCCTCAGAAAGATAGCTGGGGGCAACTCGGTTGGGCCTAAGGTACCGCGGTAGACCCCCAGGCCCCCATTTCGACCCTCTTGGCATAGACCACTACTGTGCTCCCGGAAGTCAACAAACAGACGCCAGGGGCAACGGAGGTGGAGCGTTGCGGCGCAGGGAGGGGCCAAAGGCGATTGGAGGGAGGGAAGCGGAGGCGGTGCCAATGCAGCGCAGGCGCAGATGTCGTGGGATAGGAGGTAGAGACTGCGCGCTCTCTAGCGGTTGCGAGTGGCAGAGCGGCCACGCCACATGTGTAGACTTTGGGAGCACTTATGTTTCTGCACTCAGATATTGACCGTGCGGGGACCTAGGAAGGGATAGTGACAAACATGTATGGTTTCATTTGCTTTCTTATAAGTTTTGGAATTTAATAAAGCAAATTTTGGTAGTAAGCGCTTCCATATGTTTTAATATAGCCCTACACTCTGATTTCCAACGTGAGCAACCAGGACAGGCACCATTTACAGAGATAAGAAATGCTGAGGCAGGATTGGAGTAGGTTGGAGTTAAGTCTAGGGGGCATGGAGAAAATAGTGAACTCGGCATTAAACGCACTAAGAGAGCAAAATGGAGATGCTAGATTGAACAAGGAACTGATGAGCACAAGTTTGGGATTGAGGCACATATTCAGGGAATGTGTGGGTCTGCATGATGATGCCAGTTTTTGGAACAGGTTAAAGAACAGAAGGGGCTGTAGGACCAAAGGCAAAGGAAAGATTTGATAATACTGAAAGGTCAGACTGAATACATGGGGAGAGAATATTCAGAAGAGCAAAAGAGTAACCATGGCCTTCAGGGGTGGAGGCGCTAGCCTTAACTAGCAGACCCAGCACTTCTAACATATAGAAAGGGAGAAAGAAAGCTCTTTTCTTACAAAATGATTTTGACATTTGTGATTCATCTATATTTTAATATGGATTATACCTATATGCTATTAATATATGTGTATATATAATCTAGAGCTGTCACCTGTAAATACAGCTATGATGCTACCGTAGGTCACAAATATCATATAATATCTGATATTTTGCATCTTGAAAACTTTCTGTGAGATACTAGATAAGGAATGTGACGCTTAGAGCTTGGTGCCTGAAATAAAATAGCACTCAGTAATGTTAGCTCTCATTAGTGAGGCCAGCATGGCACAGCTCACTGTATTCCTCTTCAAAATCCAGATTGTGCCACAATGGAAACAAGACCCAAATCTCAATGACTTAAAAAAAAGGTTTCATTTTGACTCCAGCTACATGTCCAGTGTGGGGCAATGGGTGGACATACTCTACCTAGTTACACAGGGGCCTGGCATATGGAAGGAGGTGTAACGCCTTTCAGCAGCATTGGAAGCAGTTCATGATCTCTCTTTGGTTACTGGATCAGGGCTAGAGAGAATGGAGCTAGAAATTCAATGTTTTAGGTCAGAAGAGACATGCTTCTCCTTCTCATAAACTATTGGCTACTGCTTGGTGTGGTGGCACAGGCCTTTAATCCCAGCACTTGGGAGGCAGAGACAAGATGATCTCTGAGTTCAAGGCCAGCCTGGTCTACATAGTGAGTTTCAGGCCAGCTGGGGCTACAGGGAGACCCTATCTCAAAAGACCAAAAAAAGAAAAGTATCTTAAACTATTGGCTACATCCAGTGTTGTGTGCACTACTAGGGGATTGAAAGATGTGGGAGAGCCCTTGGGCATTCAGTGAACAATAAATTCCTCTTCCACAGGCCCTTCGGTTATATTGTTTTAGCCCATGGCATCACCTTACATTGAAGAAGGTGAATATTCTAAGGCCCAGCCTTTAAAGCCATGGTTTGTAATATCATATGAGGTCATGAAACTGAATGTGAAGGGGCACAAAAACTTTGGCAATAGTAAATGGTGTTTGAACAAGTCATGTGCAAGAAAATTAATCCCAAATCAAATGTTTAAGCAATCAAGGTGTTTCTAGCTGTGCTCACCTATCCTATGTCACTCCACTGCAGACTTGCTCCGAAACACACAGCATGGCATTTTGCTCTGTGCAAACTGTCATGACACACAGCACCAATAAACTGCTGAAACAGCTCAGCTCAGATTTAAGGCTGTTGTATGTTATGAATTGCTATACTTTACTGTACATATAAAGTTTTCTGTCCTTAAAGAAATGTAATGGTTTAATTACAGAAAAAAAATCTTTTAATATTTTCCTATTGTTTTCTCAGCATATAAGCATCAAATTAGTAGATATCTGGATTGTATTGCATTGGAATGCTATATTTAAAAAATTGCTGTTTGAATTGCTGACTTGAACATCACAAAAAGAAAATCATTAAATGGACTTTAGGAAGGCATTAGAACAGAATTTGCAATAATTTCCCAAGTGTCCCTGAAATATTTCTATATTTCTACCATTTTGTCCTAACTATTTATGCAAAACAGCGTTCTAGGCATTGATGATTATAAAATCAAAACATTGATCAGTTCTGAAAAACGTTGACGATGTCCTGAAATAGGAAATAGTCCAACAAAATTTAATTCTTTATGAAAAATAAGCAAGCTTGTCCAACCTCTAAATATGCAAATTTACTTTCTTTTCAAAATGGCATACATCCCAAAAATTGCCTTACAATAAATGTTTTATGAACTATTATCATAAATGATTGAATTGTATAGCTAGTGATGTACCTATATACTGGGGGTTATCTGAACCTCTGTTGGGTAAAAAGGGGTCCCAAGTAGAAAAATTTAAGAAGCCCTCATCTTAAATATAATTGCCTGACTCTCAAATGTAGTTAGATGTCCTTTTTATGCCCTATATACAGGCCCAAAACCTCAGATCATCCTCAAGAAATAATTTTGATACACATCAGTCTCATAAATCTGACAATACCATGAATAAGTCTTAGTGATTCCCTCTACTAATTCTAGATGTTTTTAACTTCTGGAGAATTTTCGGTCAACTGAAAATAGAGCATGTATGAAGGAAGGCATTTGTTGGGTTGTATTTCCTTGCTGAATTCATTTTTTTACAACATTCAAAGGATCTTCCAAAGTTTGGATTTTGAGTCACATTACAATGCAGCTACACACTACACACTTACTCTGGAACAAGAATTAAAGGTAAAGGATGAACAGTGAAACTGTGTAGGTATCCATAGTCATTTGGGTTTTGTTTGTTTGCAAAGATGAGAGATCTAAGTCAAATATGGCAAAATGTTAATAGCTTTTCAAGCAGAATGATATAAGTGTTATATTATTCTATAAACTTTAACATGTAAATAAAATGTTAATTAGAAATACATATCTGTTTTCTTTTTAAGC